GTAGCGATTCAGTGTCACAGAGCCCTGCCGCAATTAGATGTCGCCTAATATTTTTCCGATTACGAAAAGGAAGTTAAAAAAAATTGAGTCCAAGCTCGGCAACTAACAATTCAGTAATGACTAGTTTATCCTCTTCGATTTCCCCTGGCTCGTTGTCGGTCCCTGTTCTTTCTGGCCTGTCCTATCTCGTGCTTATTCGAGGTACTTTTCCGGGCATTTTTGGTGTGTTCTGAAAAAAAAAAAGAAGCAAATCAAATGGTTCTCAGAGCATCATGTCCTGATAAACTCAGTGGTAACTCGAGTTCTTTAATTCCGTATCATTACAAAAATGGTCGGATGGTGCTTAGGTCCTTTTCCTTAGTTAATAAGATCATCGGTCTGGGAAATCAGGTTCCCTCAAAAGGAAAAACAAATAGATAAATCAATAGACAAAAAAAAATTAACATTTGTAACAGTCGTAATCTATGATGATATGATTAGTAATTACCGATGATAATTTTTTTCCTGAGAATGCAAGAGATGAAGCCAAGAGGCAGTCAACTCAAAAGTAAGAAAGTTCGGTTGAACTTTGGACCTGGATTTAACGGAAAAGTAGTAGATATTTGTCCTACTTAACAGTAAAAGTAAAGGGGTTTTGATTGACAGAATGACTACTTTTGATAAATTACTTACCTGCACCCCCTGAACTCTTTCTAGATTTGTTTCTGCTCCTTCCAGCCTTTTTGGCTTGGTTCTTGGCCTTTTTTTTAGCAGCTTTGAGCGCACTCTTGGTTACAAATCTTCCTACAAACGGCCAAATCGGCGCGCCACTCGCCCCAGGGAGAAACAGGGAGGAGGATTGCAAGCTAATCTCGCCACCATGTTGTCCCGCGTTGAACCAGGAGCTTCCAAGATGCATAAAATCTTCAGCAATGCTCATTGCAGTCAGAATGTAGACTAATTTTAGGAACAGCGATCCCATTTTGACGATCAAGAACTGTTACAGATCTAGATAACTGAAATCGAAAACAGAAAAGTTGCTGAAATTAAACAATTATCCAGTGCAAAATAAAAATGATATTTATTTGAATGATTTAAAAGAAAGGTTGCACTCAAACGTTAGCCTACCTGAATAAAACAGTTGCATTTAAATATAATAATCATACGCAAAGACCCGCCTTGAAGCACAGAAAGACGTCTCAAGCTATTTTATATTAAGATTGTCCGTAATGCAGTAAATGGTTTGAACCCGGCAGTAACATGTGAAGGTGTAGTCTGATCGTCCGGGTGAGTGTAGTCCTGAGAAGGACTGTTGTCGGTGGTAGTGACTGACGTTTCGACAACCTGTGCGGAAGTCATCATCAGAGTCAAGTGAATGATTGTTGTCAGTAGAATGTTCTTATTCCAGTTCGTGTGAAATGATTGGTTGGTTTTGCCGTGATGTTATTGGCTGTAAGACTCAAGTGACGTAAGTCGGTCGTGATTGGTCTGTTTCGATCTGTCGGTAAAGTTAGGTCGTTCTTTTTCGGTCGTTTGTGATGTTTATGTCGTGAATGAGTCGTTTGTATGGAGCGGGTAGTTGTTGACATCTGTTTAGGGGAGTCTGTTCTAAGTTAGTAAACCAGCTTTCCAGAGTCAGTCGTTGAAAATAGTCAGTGCTGTAGGTTAGGCATTGCGGAGAGTCCCAGTCAATGTTGTGGTTGGTAAGTCGACGGTGTTCAGCAAGGTGATTGCTGACATCACCTTTCCTCGTCGCCCGTCTGTGTTCAGTCAGTCTTGTTGTGAGGTTTCTGCCAGTCTCACCGATGTAGGAGGCTTGGCAGTCGGAACAATTGATCTTATAAATCGTTCCCTGTCTGTTCCTCGGTTCGTCTTTGTCTTTAACGTTGGTTAGTAACTGACGTAGTGTGGTAATGCATCATCACCACACTACGTCAGTTACTAACCAACGATCAGACACCCGGACGATAAGACTACACCTTCACATTGTCCGTAACTTTTCTGTTTTTTATTCTCGGCGTAGCATCCCTCCGCAATTCATACACAGCTTTTTTCCTTTATCGTTTTTAAGTAATCTACGGAGCTCTCGTGGACATCTTCTGTAATTACAAGACAAACGCAGGTGATAAACGCATGACAAAAAAGCATATAAACCACGGGATCTAATTATGTTCCCGCAGATTTGTGGAATACGTCAATCCCCCGGTGGTTTGGTGGATCTTTGAGGTAGTATTTTAGAATGTCCCGATTTTTTACAAGAAAAAATGATGTTGAACTTGAGACGTTTCAGGCTGTTTACAATGACATGTCAAATGTTGTCAGGCAAGCTTTAAGGACGAACCTCTTCTGATGCCAGAAAACTTGGCGAGGTTTCAAACCCTTAGCTCCACTGAGAAGAAGTTTAAGTTTAAGTTTAATTCATTCGCCACAGGAATGGCAGGAGAAAGGAAGAGAACTTTTGTTCCAATTGACACCAAACCCCTTTTTTACCCACCCATCCCACCCCGGGGAGGACATCCATCACACAGTAATCTCGTGTGTGGGAAATTAACGTCTCCTACCCCAACCCTGCAGGAGACGGGACCTCCATTTATCGTCCCTATCCGAGAAGACTAGAAAGTCTAACCATTTGCAGATATTATTACAAAGGCAGCACTTTCTTCTCAGTTAATTAAAGACCCTGAGTGTTGGTCCGGCCGGATTTGAACTCACGACCTCCCGCACAACACTCCGGCGCTCTACCAATTGAGCTAACCGGGAAGCGGTTGAAGCGAATCAAGAGTTCCGATTTTATGTTTGACATGTCTAATTATGTTTTTGATTATCAATGCAACAGTTTGTGATTATGGAAAAAAATGTGGTCATTCACATCGACCTCTTGCTTTACCTTACTAGGGCTTTTTAATCTGTGAAAAAACCCTTACCTTGTTCACTGTTCTCTGCTCGTTCTTCTGAACTCGTCTTATTGTGTTAGAATGGGAACCACTAAAGCCTTTTTAAGCCAATTGCTGGTTAGGGTATCTCCCTTCGCGTGATAACCGGCAGTAAAATCTCAATGGTCAGAAGTAACTTTAATTGTTTTGAGGTGTTTCTAAAGTTGCCTTAGAGACACTCAGAGAACAAATTCTTCCGTTGCAGATTTTAGAAAAGCTAAACTTGCGCTAGTGCTAATATAGCTGCAGTGCAAACGCGCCGAAAGGCCAAATAACTGAAACTATACACTGAAACGCTGAAACGTTCTATACACTTCCGCTTCCTATTCACTCCATTCTTTTCATGCAACCAACAAACCTTTCGAAGCTTTCATGAAAACTTCATAATTGCGTTAGGCTGAATGAAGAGTTCAAAACGTGGACAGTTCTTAATGCAGTGGTATCTTTAACGACGTCGAAGACTGCAGATTTCCACGACGGTGACCTTTGTCTTAAGGGCGGTTAAAGAGGAACAAAAGGAAGATTGGCTCAACGGTCTGATATAGCTTGCTCTCTTGGCCCGCTAGTGGTCCCATTATAAATTGAATATAACAACAATAATTAGTTTCTAATATTATCAGTACTTGTGGGTTTGATCGTTGCGGAAACAGCTCAACTTGTATGCGTTATTGACCAGGCGTGAGGTCAAGAGGGTTGGATATTGGCCGAGTTCTTTTTTTTCTTTGCATTTTTATGAACCGAGACGAGGTCGAGGTCCATAAAAATGAAGCTAACTTTCAGACATCTTAGCCGAACAAACTTTGTCCGTACAGGATTTATTATATTGCAAAAAGATTTCGGTTTATTAAGAATTAATATTGGCTTGTTTACTTCGAGAGCCGGGTCAGAAAGGCAGTTGTGTTTGTAAATTCACGCGTGTCGTTTCCCTTTTTATTTGACTATCTTCTGTCGCTTTTTGCATTTTTATCGCCGACATTGTCCAAGAATTATGAACTTAGAACCAATTCAATTTTTTTCATGCGCGGGATCAATGCAGGCAATCCCGAGCAGGCGAGAAGGGCACATCTTGCCCGCTCGGTAGCCAATCAGAGCACAGGATTCGCTTCATAATGCCCATGAGCGCTGCGGGTGATGTAATAATCCTGCTTATTAACCCACGAGAAAGAGGCTATATATTTATTATCCCCCTATCTTTTGAAATTTTGCTCGAAAAAAATTTGAATTCTTTGATGTGGATGAAAGCATTGGGTCAAATATTAGTTTCCCGAGACGGGAAGCGGAACAAACCCAAGTTTAAAGAATGCTTTTACCGGGGTCACTTAGAGGAACTCGACCGATCACATTACAAAAAAAGAAAATTATGAAGAAACAAAATCAAGTGAACTGCGCAAGTCAGTACTCAGGAACAAACGAAGCAAAGGTGAAATAATTAAGACGAAATCAACTCCTCGTTTCCTGTTGCTGGTTATCCATTTTGTGTTAGTAACTTCGGAAACCGGGAAATACTCTGTAACTACTATTGTTGTATTTTATATCAAAGGGGCATGTGAATGACATTGGATAAAAAGTCATCAATACGACGTTGTCATCATTTGACTCCCTTTCCTATTATTAAGTATCTTGATATAAAGGCATGGAAACTGGAAAATGATCAATATCATGGGAATTCGTAGGCATATGTTTTATTTCTTATGAAATTGCAGGACTTTAACCGAAAAAAAGGACAAAAAGACAAAGGCAAAAGATGAAAGGACAAAGGCACGTTCATGATTCAGAGTGTAATACAGAATAGTAAAGCGGCTGGGCTGTGTTTTTGAAGTATAATCTCGTTGCAGTACAAACTTAATTGTAAGAAATCTGGAAATCTTAACACAGAAAATTCCATTTTTGAAGCTAATGAAGATGATGAAGTAATACTAAGCCTTACCGTTGAGCTGTGTTATAAGTTAAACGACTCAGGATACAGATGAAAACAATATAATGGATAACAGTAATAATGTTTTGAATACGTTCAAGCAATGTTATGCGCACGAGTTGCACAAACTTATAGTATTCATTTTCAACATAGCGAAATAATCACTCTGTATCTGCTTGCTTTTGTATTTTACTTTCACAGATGACGGGGCTAACCGTGCAAAAATAAAATCAACCTTTTTAGATATAGTATTAATAAAGTGGAGCCACATTATAATTCAATTTCCGAGTCTTGATTTGTTATCAGGACAAGATATAGAACCAATATCAACACCTTAACCACGCTTGAAATTGTGGTTTTCTGTCATGTTACGTTCGATTTGTATTATTTGTTTCTAGATATCTGAGTGTTTTCAATCAGTGGGCTTCAATGAAAACCACAGGGTCACCAGTAATTGTGTCAGCATTATAAATAAATCATTCTCTTTCAATTCCCCAAAGGTTTGAATATCTAACTATGAATCACTAAACTAAAATATAATGTCTTTACTCAGCAGCCCTATTCCAAATAGCGACTTTCATTTCTGCCATTACATACATGTTGAAAAGTCGATCAGTCACGTGATCAGAGCTTGTGATTGACAGCTGCCAATAGCCATGCTGGGACATAGACAAACTCAGGGATCATCCACGCGATAGAAGGGTAGGAGCTTGCCAGATGAAACTTCACTTGTCGCATAGACAATGGCTGAGTTCCTACAACAAACAACGAAAATTTCATTTCATCTGTTCTTCTACCAACTGAATTGCCCTGCCACAACATAATAATTCATTGAAGAACAGCTTACGAAAAGCAGGTTTCCATACACAGATTGTTGCATAGTTTTGCGTCAAATAACTATACGTAATTTATACGTCACATACCTCCGACATCTTTGAACCCGTATTCTCTGGCCAATTCCGGCGAAATTAGAATCCGACCAGTCTTTTTCATAATATCGCTATCTGAAAGTGGTAATCAAATTTCAGACGCCAAAACAATCGAAAGAGATGGATGACGTATCGCATCTATTTCTAAACTTTCGAAATCGAAAGAAAAGTCAACAACAAGTGAGAGTGGAAACTGGTTAGTCTGTGAAAAGAAATCTTCAAATCAAAACTGATGACTACCACAAAACCTGCTGCGGGAGTATCCCGATTGTTCTAAAGTCGCTAAAGTCTTGTTCTAAAGTCGCTAGCCCGAACTCTAACCCTGTGACTTGGAATGTTCTCGTGTGCATAGATATCTAGCTAAATCCAGTCGTACTCAAAGGTTTTGATTAACAAAGCCAAGCAAGCACGAGATACTAAATCCTTTCCCTCATTGCCCAGCTCTGTTGCTGGTATTGTAAGTTAGACAACCTTTGCTACAACTTAAGATGTTTTTTTCTTCTTGTCGCGAGCGCGGGACTAAGAAAAAGTCTGATTAATCATGAGAAATCGAACCTCAGACCCTCGCATTCCATGCAACAATACCTTAACACTTAGCTACTACTGAGCTACCCACAACTCCATTGGTGAGCTGGGCCGTTACCATGTTCGTATGTGATACGCGCCCTGCATATTGCTACGACCAGCAATGTCGAGAGCTTTCTGTGAGCTTATAGCATTTGAAAGAGAGTTAATTTAGCTGCCGAAATACAGTAAAGCTAGCCCTATAGACAAGATGCAGTAGTCATTGAATTCTACCTGGAAATTTTGCGTAGCTTGATGCGAAAGTAGAAAATTATGGGAGTACCTGCTGCAAGCCACGCCACAGCTTTGCCGGAAAATGTGACATCTTCAGCGTATTTTAAAAATTTTCCGGATTTACTCACCTACAAAAAAACACAAAACAGAAGAATAACCTACAAAAAAACTCATAGCTTGCAAGCAGGCTGCCGTTGGCGTTGAGGAACAAGAAGTGGAGCAGCGAGAGATGATCCGACGAGGAGCCTAGCTTTGCATGGCGAAGCTAATGATAGCCTGTTCGATGGCTATTTAACTTTTAGCTAATGAGCTCGAGAATTCTATCGCGTGATAGTTGATAGGAGCGAAGCCCGAGTCAACTACCGATTTTAACGGCCTATATATAAAAGGAAATATAGTAAGGGCCAATGACAATTCACAGAAGAAAAAACTGCTCAGGGCGCGGGAAAACGTGGGCAAGCAAGTCTCGCCTCATTGGTTGAGAAGGCGAATCTCGATTTGAAGACCAACCATACAAGGTAATACTCAAACAACTATTCGTACTTCTCCCCTCACCTCCCCCAAAGATAGTTTTAAGAACAAGAGAGTACCCATTTTCCTTCATGACTTTTCTTGGGAATCAAGTCCATTACGGTCTCTGTCTTCACAGCCCCTGGCCATAGAGACACACACGCCACATTGTGTTTACGTAGTTCCACAGCCATATCTGCAGCCATTCTGTCCGTCTGAGTAAAAATGAAAAAAAAATTATATTTAGCAGGTTCTTAACTTCGCGATTACGGAACAATGTTTTCGCAAAGTGGTTGATTTCTGCAGCAGTCACGATATACATCATACTATCCAATAGCAAAAGCATGTGCGTGCTTGTGCAGGGAAGGAGGGGGAGGGTAGGGAGGGGTAGGTTAGGAAGGGAGGGGAGGGGAGGGAGTACTTACTGCGGCTTTGCCAACACCATATGCGACACTAACGGAATATTTTAAGCCTCCAGGCGATGAGATATTGACAATGAGCCCCTGCTTTGCTGGAACCATCATCTTAGCTGCATACCATGCAGCCACATAATTGGACCTTAAATGGAAGGAATGCGTAAGTTTATCAAGCATCTCACTACGACTCAATAATTAACTCCATCCCTTAATAGTCTGTCGGTCAGTAAGGCCATAACTCATTAACGTCACCATGCACCTTCAGGGGTGTCTCGCGTGCAAGCGATGTAGCGCGTCCGGTTTAAACTGTAGATATCTAAACCCCCATATCAAATTAAAGCTTATAGGACTGGCTATCAGACTATACCAAAAATTTTGAAAAGAAACGAATTGTCGAATTTTTCACGACTTCTAAATGCTAGCGCCCGAATCACCTTTTAAGAGCTACAAGTCAAAGGGAACTTGTTCGATCGCTCTCAAATTTTGACAGTAGCTAGTTTTACATATAAACAACAAAAAGGTGTCTCCCAATTTTTTATTTCTAAATACTTTTTTTCAAGAACGATCACTCCACATTTTTTAAATCCTACTTCAAAAATGTTCGGTAACTTTTCAATGAAGTTGAATATGGCAAATCGCAGGCACGTTTTTAGCGCTTTGGCCCCGGAAACGGAGGAACACATCAAATAAGCGAAAAAAAAAATTCGCTTTAACATGTAACGTTCAAAAGGTGATTCAGGCGCTCGCATTTAGAAGTCGTGAAAAATTCGACAATTCCTTTTTTTTCAAAATTTTTGGTATAGTCTGATAGCCAGTCCTATAAGCTTTAATTTGATATAGGGGCTTAGATATCTACAGTTTAAAACGGACGCGCTACATCGCTTGCACGCGAGACACCCCTGAAGGTGCACAGTAACCTTAAACAAGGAAAAATTTAGTGACTACTGCACAAGCACAGTGCTGAATGGTGAAAATCAATGCATTATATCGATTACTTTTCTCACCTTAACCCCACATTGTTGACCTCGTCCCACATATCCACAGACTAGATAGAGGAAAAAGACAGGGATTATTTGTATTCATCTATTTGTATTTATTTATAATTACCTATAATTAGATTGTGTGCACACCATGTTTTTAAGAGTTTGTTTAATTAGTATGTCTCTCTAGAACATGAAAACTGGTTAAGACTCGGAGTCGGACTTGTAAAATTTTTTCATTTCATTCTGTTATTATTTATTACCAAAACTGACATCCAAAAGCATGCAGACACAAACAAAATTTCACAAATCAAGCTCTCTAATCACAACTCACAAGATGACCTCTCAAAACTTCTGAAATACTGCACCGTCCTGTTTCCACAAGAGGTCAGAGGCACAAAACAATTTTTTGTGATCTAGCTATCTGCAACTTCACGGTTTACATGAGGAGGGGAGGTCAATTGTTTTTCTTCAGTTCGTTTCATAGCCTTCAATTAAGACACTGACTTTAATAAAGCTAAGGCGAAATAGATAAGGAGTATGGATTTGTATCTATTTCATGTGAGATTCCTCTGATCTGGGAGCTGTTTCTTACGACTGACCAGTTCATAAAATGGTGTTCCTGCTTTCTCTAATGCTGCCTGGAAATGAAGAATATGCAGTAAATAAATTGTAAGTGCCTTACAATACAGTTTCTGTGAAGTACATATACTTCTTGCCTTACAGCTGTAGATAGCAAACATACAAAAGAAAAAAACAAGGGAGGTCTTAGACAGGTTCCATTTACTGTTACTTGCAAAAACTGCATTGCATAATTGCTCATGGATACTGGTGATGTAAAGAGGTAGGCTTTTATTTATCTATCTTCATAACTGCCCGACTTAACAAAGCAGTTCATGCAGTTTATGGAAATGCATGCCAGCAATTCATCTAATTTCTTTTCATTGGCGACGTGCAGAAAATTATCTGATCCCTTTAACATCGGTCAGTGTAAAAGCTAGACTGCGGACTGCGGACTGCGGACTGCAGATCGGGGTTAAAATGCAGACTGCAGACTGCAAACCAGGGTTAAAATGCAGACTGAGGGAAAAATAAAATATCAATAATAAAAAACTAGACTTGGTAGTGCTCCTACCCGTAACCGTAATTTTTTTTTCAAAATCCCGAAAACTCAAACCAAAAGGCGTTTATTCGCCTTAGTCAAACATATTATCAACCTCGAGTTCTTGAGCTCCCCATTTTGTCGAACCAAGTTTCCCCAAAAGCGCCCAAACTGATCGTAATGTTATGCATCTTACCTTTGTTTAAATGTCGGCCATTTTGAATTGTGCATTCGCGAATAGGTCTGTGACCGAGTAACTCTTTCAGGGTTCAAATTCTTCATATGGCCTTGGAATTGTTTGGAAGACAAGGCAAGCAAAACACGACAGCACAACAACAAGGCAAGGTAAACTTGTAGGTATCGAGCATAGTTTGTGAAAGACATTATCGCAAATTATCGAAAATTACCATGAGATCGTCGTCCTCGTTTTCTGACATTTTATAGTGCCATATGACTTGGGGACGAAATGACTTTTAAACTGTGTGAAGCGGCCATTGCGTGTTTCGTGAGTCCTGACGTGACATTATCTTACGGGTACGAACACTCTTTATTTCATCTTTAAAACTCGCTTTTTTTTTATTATTAACATTTTACCCCTCAGTCTGCATTTTACCCCTGGTCTGCAGTCTGCAGTCTGCGTTTTACCCTCAGTCTGCATTTTACCCCCGGTCTGCAGTCCGCAGTCTACGTTTTACAATGACGTACCGCTTTAACATTGATATCTGTATGGCATGATCTTCTATAAACTAGGTGGATGACAGCTATAGAGTGCACTACCTTATTTATCACAGAAAGACATATTCACCCTAGCTCCTTGGTAAGCATTATTCACAAGAATGTCCAATTGCCCATTCTGTTCTTGACTGACTTTTTCAAACAGTTTTTTCACTTCTTCATCGTTTCTGTGGTCACACTTGATAGGAATGCAGCACCCACCACTCTCCTGATCAATCTGCAGTGAATTTAAAAGAATCTTGTAAATCTACTATGAGAATCAAGTAACTTAAATAGCATTTGGGTTTTTTTTCTTGTTTCCAAAGGGCTTCACTTCCTCGCTTCTTTGTGGTTGCATCCATTATAGTCATCCTTGGTGGCTGATCTTAGTTAGCTTGCTCTCCATGTGATGATTGGTGGCCTCTAACATGCTAATGTGAATATTTACTTACACCAGATATGAGTTGTGAAATGAAGGCCTTCATTCCACAATTTATATCTTCAGATTGGTAGGTAGAAAAGATTAATATAACAAGTTTTTCTTTGGGAAAGAAAAAATAAACATACAGAAGGACAAATAAAATACAAATACTGAAAGGGGGCCCTATACCTCTACAAGGAAAGGCACTTTGAGAGGAAATTAGTGCCTTTCTACCACCACAACTAACTAACTAAAATTAGTGCCTTTCTACCAGCTAACTAACTAGGCTTGCTCATGGACCTCAGTAAGGCCTGTAAGGTCAGACTGTCCAATGTATTAACCATTTAGCCACATGATTTGTATCCCTTTACTTAAAGGTGGGTGGCAGATTGGTTAGAGCGCAATTGGTTAGAGCGCTGGATTGTGCTGTGCGGGAGGTCGAGGGTTCGAGCCCCAGCCGGACCAATACTCATGGTCTTATAATAACTGAGGAGAATTTGCTACCTTTCTATAATATCAAGAAATGGATAGATATTCCAGTCTTCTCGGATAAGGACGAATATTC